CTGTGTGTCTCCCTGATGGGGCTGCACTTCAGTGTCCCCCCACACGGAATCTTTATATATTGGTTTACAAATACAAAATCTGTGGTCCTTTAACTGAACAGGGATTTAACTTTAGAATTAATTTGAAAAACACAGCATGTGGGTGCAGTATTGCATTCTTACCCTTTAAATTCCTTCTGAATTCTAGAGGAAATTATTTCTTAATTCAATTAATCCTAAAACCAAAATTCATGGCACATAATTAAAGGGGCTCCCCAGGAGACACATTTTTGGTAACACTGCTCCGAATCACACAGTGCAGTTTGTGGCAGGGTGATTGTTAAATGTGTATGGACTGTTCCTAGCACTCTGATCTTTTCTTTGTCTTTCCAGACCAAAGTCGGCCCTGGTGTACAACTGCACAACTGGGGGGATTAACCCCTTCCACTGGGGGGAGATCGGTGAGTCTACTTCTGTCTAGAACCGTGACGGAAATGCACATTTTTTTAAAAGTAGCAAAAAATGCATTTGCCCAGTCGGATTAGAATTTTAGAATGAATGAAATTAAATTAGCAGTAGTGCATTTCTTGTTTATGAGCCCTTTTCAGGCATTGAGAAGACAGGTTTATAGAATTAAAAAATATTTTAAGATATTGAAAATTAGATTCCCATGTCTGCAAGATAGCTGCAATTAGGTAGGGTTAGGTAAACCAGATTATTTAGGAATTGCTTGATTGTGCTTGAATTGAATCGAAGTTAAGCAGACAGTTAATTCCAAAAATTGGTCACTTGGATCTTGGAGAAACAAGAGGAATCCTGAAACGCTGTAATATTAACTTAGAGAATGTCTGGGACTGGTGGTGCAGCTCTTGTAGCTGCAGGTGCTAATAGGGTCAGGCAGGGTACCGGTACGCCCACTGTCAGCAGGATGCAACGCCGCGGAATCTTCTCTGCGTTTGTGCTCAGGGCTGTGTTGTATTCAAGATGTCGAAGTGGGGAGCTATGTCAGCATGTTTTGGCTGCAAAGGAACACGGGAAGGTTAATTCCACACCGATAAGGAGGAAGACAAATCTCTGCGTTTCAGCTGTTGAGCCTCCTTCGGGGAGAAGCCCTGAGATCTCTGTTCTTATGGCTCGTTCCTTGTCCGTGCGCAGACCAAAGTGCAAAGTTTCAGTGCGTCGAAGCGTGACGTCTGAGCTGCAACAGAACCCCGTTCAGCTGACTGCTGGAAGACCTGTCCCGGGACACTGAAAGGTCCTGGTGGGCACGGAACTCAGGAGGGGGTCTCGCTGAGGATGAGGCTCTTCAGGCTCTCTCCCTGATTCCAGGCAGTGCCGGGCTCGGTGCCCTTTCACTGTGAGCTCATGAGCAGACTGCAGTGAGCTGCTTGCTGTCGCGGAAAGGAAGCAAACGCTTGATTTCCACGAAGAGCTCAAGCAGACTGCCGAGATGCAGCCTGTGCTCTCGTGTCTGTGATTAATTGGGGCTTGTCAGTGGGCGTGTGACGCTGCGCGGGGCAAATGAGCTGTGAAATCTTGACAGCACGTCTCGTGTCTCGGGAGCCCTGCGGGGCCTTCGGCACAGTGACATACCTCCCGCTTGCACAACGTGCTGGAGATCAGGCTCCTCCTGAGGGTGACCCCTCAAGCCTTCTTGTATAACGGTTGATCATCTGCTTCACTTCACTTTATTCACTTTGTACTCGACAGCAGCTCAAAAGGCAAACGCCACTTGCATAAGTCGTCAGACTGATTGGAACTGAAACACTGAAGGATTTATACAAATCCCCCATTAACAACAATTACTGTGTTTGTCAATGGCAGTGAAATCAGTAAGCTGACTGACTCTAACAGGCTCTAATCCCTTGTAAATGAACCCCTGAGGCCACAGCAGCAGTAATGGCATTACACAGCACAGGAGGATAAAGGAAGGAGGACATAGCCTACTGTATCTCCTAGCATGGGGTGAGACGATTCAGGCATTAGAAACAATCAGAAATGCTGTGCAGTTTTGTTTTCTCATTGTCTGCTGTTTAAAAACCTGGCTGTGCTGTGCAGCTCTGCGTCTCTCTGCACTGATCCCCGGCTCAGGACACTGCCGCTGTGGAAACCGAGCCCTTAGCTTTGCAGACATCAGGGTTAAAATCACACACAGCTCCTGTCTGTCACCCGGCTCGGATGGCGCGGAATGAAATGCTGAGAAATTCATTCCTGGACACGCGTTCCTCCCAGTGACCCTGGACACGTGGGGAGGTGTCCCCTCACCGGCTGGCTGACCTCTCCCCGGGCGCCCTGTGACGGGGCAGTGGCTGGGAGAGTCAGTGATGTGGGGAATGCCAGCTAGCTCGTACGCGCTGCCTCTTTCTCCCGGCGCGCCGCAGTAATGGAACATGAAAACCGCCACCAGGACATAGAACAAGCTCCTGAGTTTCCTCTCCCACCAGCCTCCTCCCTGTGCATATCTTCGCTGAGCTCAGTTCTAATCAAGGCAGACACTCCTCCTGAGGTACAGTAATTCAAGAAAACAGGCACAGCTAAGAATTCCAGCTCTTTCTTCCCAAATCTCGCTGTGGGCAGAACTGAAGAATAATCCTGCTCGAGCAGAAGGTCAGACCAGGGGTCATCCTGGGACCCTGGAGTTGGGAGACCATGTTGTCATGCGCCGGCAGCCAGCACTGTGTTTGTAGTAGATCTGCTTTTCCAAACTGCTACCTGTGACCTGAACATAATTCATACAACATTTTGCCATATTTTAAGTGTGAGGTGAGACGTACAGTATATATATGCACAAGCTACAAGTTGTATACACACAATATATTCTTAGTTTGACTCGGAGTCAATATTTTTCAATCTCCCCTGTAAAGGAAATGGCAGGGTAAGAGCTGAAAAACCTTATTCATGTGAGATACAGAAGTTCAAAACATGAGTCCTGCTCCTAGACATACACATGACTAAATATGAAATAGGAACGAGTAAAGGTTAATTCCAAACTGAAATGCAGAAAGGAGAAACAAGATTTCGGCTGTTGAGGGGTCAGCCATTTATACGGCGCCTCTGGAGCAGTTGGGGTTCAGGGCCTTGCTCAGGGGCCCAGTGGAGTAGGATTCCTCTGCCGGCTGCAGGATACGAACTGGTAACCTTCCAGCCACAGGTGCAGATCCTGAGCCACAGAGCCACCGGACTACAGCAAGATGAGTTAAGAAGGAAGGAATTTTGTATCAAATGCACTGTTGTGATTGCAGTTATTTTTCTCTTATGTGCTCAATGTTTTTGTTTGGCTCTTTATTGAGGCTCAGACAGCATTGACAGGAGGAAAAGGACCTAATACCAAAACCATTAGAGAAACCCACACTGACACCCAGCAGGAGTTTCATTTACATGCAAGTCATTGTCGAGCAGCTATCGCAGTTAAATGACAAAACTGATGCACACGTCCAGAGCTGGTGAAACGAACAGGGATACTAACATGGAGAAAGCAGTGAGGAGCCCCAGAACAGCAGATCCAGCCTGTTTTACTGGCTCGCTAATGATGAGACAGCGGTGAATTACAGTACAGGGGGAAACATAAAAATGCCTCAGCTCTTTCATAGTACATACAGTAGTTGTGATATTTCCCACTGAATGTGAGGAGATGTTAAGCATACATGTACTGTGTGATGAGAAGCATTCCTGCAGATCATGTTTAAGATAATTCTGAAGTGTCTTACTGTCTACTACTTCTGTTTTTAATGGATAAGTGACTCCATGGGCCTGAATGCTCAGTGGAACCCACTGCGTCTCATTTCTCAACAGCAGATCACTGTGACACCCCTATCCCCTTCGGAGTGACACAGATCAGGCGTTCTCAATCCTGGTCTTACTGTAAATAATAATAATAATTTCTTACACTTATATAGCGCTTTTCTGGACACTCCACTCAAAGCGTTTTACAGGTAATGGGGACTCCCCTCCACCACCAACCAATGTGCAGCCCCACCTGGATGATGCAACGGCAGCCATAGTGCGCCAGAACGCTCCCCACACACCAGCTCTCAGTGGGGAGGAGAGCAGAGTGATGTAGCCAATTCATAGAGGGGGATTATTAGGAGGCCATGATTGGTAAGGGCCAATGGGAAATTTGGTTACACCCCTACTCTTTTCGAGAAGCGCCCTGGGATTTTTAATGACCACAGAGAGTCAGGACCTCGGTTTTACGTCTCATCCGAAGGACGGCGCCTGTTTACAGTATAGTGTCCCCGTCACTATACTGGGGCATTAGGACCCACACAGACCACAGGGTGAGCGCCCCCTGCTGGCCCTACTAACACCTCTTCCAGCAGCAACCTTGGTTTTTCCCAGGAGGTCTCCCTAAGTGTTTCCTTTTTCTGTTTCCGGTGTTTCTAATTTTCTCTTTCAGCACATACAAAGTTCTCGTTTTATATGCATCTAAAGCTCAGTTATTTGAGGTAGTTAGGTGTCGGGTTTTAGTGCCTCCAGACAATGCCTCAGTAACTCCTCTAATGTGTTTCACCATAATTTCGCTTTCTGGCCATGTTCAGATTCTTTGTTAATGACAGATTATCGTGTAATTAATTTTTGTGTGTGCATGACCTCTCACAAAATACAAACTGCGTTTTTATAGACTGTGAGCCAAGAGGAGTGTTTTATGCCAGCCTTTTCCAGCTGAGATCCAGTTACACTTACACATCTTTTGTGGTCCCACTAATCAATAAAACAGAGTGTCTTCAACCACATCAGAAGGATGTCCAGTTTCCTTTGGAAACAAACCCTTTTCCACACACGAATGCTCTTGTGTGAAGATGAAACAGATATTTAAGTTTGGTTTAAAATATTTTGGTGGGGTCTGTAATGAGACAAGCAGCAGGATAAGAGCCATCAGTCTAGGGAGAGACATCACATCCTCGAAACAGCAGACCCAGCTGCAGGGCCAGGGGGCGGTGTTGGGGTAAACAAGTGGGGCACTTCAGAGAGCTTCTCAATAACAGCACCTCCCAGGGGTACCAACCCGCGCCCTGTCCCTCTGTCCAGAGAGGCGGGCCATGTTACGGCGCGGCGGTGGTCAGGGGGCCGCCGCGGTGCCGTTCAGGTCGAACCCAAGCGCTTGGGCTCGGGGAGTTCAGCAGGCTTCCGAAGGCAGAGGAGCTCGCCGGACACAGCCGCTGACCGAGAGGAGGGCTGCCGGCCGGGCCCTGGGTGGAGTGCTTGTAGGAGCCGGCTGGAATGGTAGTGGCTGCAGCAGGCTGCTGACTAGCAGTAGACCGGCATGGCCACAGAGGCTGGCGGCGAGCTTGCGGTGACTGTAATAATAATAATAATAATTGCTTACACTTATATAGCACTTTTCTGGACAGTCCACTCAAAGCGCTTTACAGGTAATGGGGATCCCCTCCACCTCCACCAGTGTGCAGCCCCACCTGGATGATGCGACAGCAGCCATAGTGCACCAGAACGCTCCCCACACACCAGCTCTCAGTGGGGAGGAGAGCAGAGTGATGTAGCCAGTTCATAGAGGGGGATTATTAGGAGGCCATGATTGGTAAGGGGCAATGGGGAATTTGGTTACACCCCTACTTTTCGTTTTCGAGAAACGCCCTGGGATTTTTAATGACCACAGAGAGTCAGGACCTCGGTTTTACGTCTCATCCGAAGGACGGCGTCTGTTTACAGTACAGTGTCCCCATCACTATACTGGGGCATTAGGACCCACACAGACCACAGGGTGAGCGCCCCCTACTGGCCCCACTAACACCTCTTCCAGCAGCAGCCTTAGCTCTCCCAGGAGTCTCCCATCCAGGTACTGACCAGGCTCACACCTGCTGAGCTTCAGTGGGCTGCCAGTTGTGAGTTGCAGGGTGATATGGCTGCCGTCTTGTGGCTGACTGCAGGGGCTGCAGAAGTGGCCTTGGAGGCTGGCCGCTGACTTGTCAGTGTGGCTGTACTAGTAGCGGTAGTCTGGTAGTTGCCGTTGCATGGCAGTAGAGTCTGGCTGCCAACTGCCGTAGATGACACTGGTCTGACACTCGTATTCCGAGATTCTGGCAAGTTCTGGGATCTGTGCTCCCAGGAAACACTGCTAGCACATCCCGTGGTGAATGTGTTCAAGTAGGGAGCGGCAACGGCTGCAAAAAAAGCTTTATTCAGTGCTGACAAGAAAAAAAAAAGAGAGCCGTGGAGCTTTCTTCCTTTGCAGTGGGAAATATGGCCACCACAGAACTGTCCTTGTACTGTGGCTATCTGAGGTTCAACAGGGAGTGATTAATGGGGGCTAACTGGATGACTGAGTGCCACATTAGTAGGGAGACATTTAAAATGCCCAAGCCACTTGAAGTCCCAAGTGACATTCATTCGCACTGTCGTCTCGCGGTAAGCAAGGGGCGAGGGGTCAGATCTGCTAAGCAAAGGCTTAACCATGCCGGAGAGTCTATGGCAGGAGTCAGAGTGTACAGGCGCTGAGGCTGTTTGTCCTGCTGTGTTTGTGCAGAATACCATGTCATGTCCACCTTCAAGAGGAACCCCCTGGACCAGGCCTTCCGCCGGCCCAACGCCAACATCACATCCAACTACCTGATCAACCAGTACTGGATCGCTGTCAGCCACAAGGCCCCGGCTCTGCTGTACGACCTGTACCTGCGCTTGTCAGGCCAGAAGCCCAGGTAAGACAGGACCCCTCTCAGACCCCACAGGACTCCCCATAGCCGCCCAACCCTCTAGACCAAAAGAGTGTCTCTCTCTCTGAGGATGCACAGCACACCATTTTCACAGTACGCATCAGGATGAATCTCGTAACGTGACGACCGGGAAGTATTGAAACACTGGCGTGTCATGAAGCTGTAGGGCTGACGTTCTCAGCCGGTGCTCCAGCAACCCCAGGGGTCCTGAGAATCTGTACAAATTGCACATGGAGGAGCTGCTCCAGCCGCAGTGAATATTGTGATGCTGACCTGCCGTTCTGCCTTTTAATATTTTCTCCATCCATCCATTTTCTAACCACTTCATCCAGTTTAGGGAAGTTACAGCCTATCCCAGCAAGCAACAGGCGCAAGGCAGGGTACACTCTAGATGGGACGCCAGTAAGTCTTTGGACTGTGGGAGGAAACTGGAGCACCTGGAGGAAACCCAGATAAAAGCAGGGAGAACATACAAACTCCACACACACAGCACACCTTTGGGTCTGGAGTTGAACCCAGGCCCTTCAAGACCGCAGTGCCTGCTACTGCGCCACCGTGTTGCCCTTAAGATTTCCTTATTTGCAATAATTCAGCATTTCATTTGAATTTCATTTTGACTGTAATTTCCTGACGTTCATGGCCCTGGTTGAAAGGCATCTTGTAAAAAGGGGGAATTCTGGGAGGAAGAGGCGCGGTGAAGTCGCAGGCGGCTGGCCTTCCCTCATTCCTGTGTGTTTGCTGTCGCCGCAGGATGATGAGGATCTTCAACCGGCTGCACAAGGCCATGATGCTGCTGGAGTATTTCAGCAATCAGTCTTGGGAGTGGAACTCCGACAACATGAACATGCTGATGGGCCAGCTCAGCCCCGAGGACAGGAAGGTACTGCAGAGTCTGTGGGCCAGCCCCCTTCCCTCCTCTCCTGACACTCCTGACGAGAGAGCAAATGGGCGAAACAATAGCGGCAGGAGAGTCAGTTTTGGGTAGCTTTGGGAATATCTGGTCCATCTGCTGTCCCGTTCATGGACTGAGGGCTTTGCAGGAGTCAGAGCTACATGAGACACTGCACCAGTCTCCCTGATTCAGATCGGGCTAGCGTGGACTGCTCCGATTTCTCTGGGCTTGGTATCGCAGTACTGTCACGCCCAGTACACCTGGAGGGCGCTCTGCTTCTGTCCTGTTCCTAGTCCCCTGTGATTGTTCATGTCTTTCTGGTGTGTCTGGTTGTGTTGCCTATTTACTTCCTGTGTCTGCTCTGCTCCTGGCTCAGCTTGAGGGTACGGATGTCCTGAGACCCGCCCAGCACCAGTTCACTCCTGTCTTTGGCCTGAGGGCACAGGTTTCTATACAGCATTCCCTGAACAGCTGAGCCCGGGCTAACCCCCGTCTCGCTGCTACTCATAGGGTCTTTCGCTCTCCTGCCATTCCACGGTTCGTCCCTTCTGACATCCGTGACAAGTACAGGAGGAGTTAGTTCTGTTGTCTTTCTTTTATTTTCTAAACAAAACCAAGGCCTACCTATCCACTCCAAATGATCATTTTCAGCCCTCGATATAGCTTCTCTTTAAGTTTTTCTGGTGCTGAATAACTAACATATTTGCTGTGGAAATGGTTTGTGACTTGTATGATTAAATTTGACTTTCGGGATATATGTTTTGAATGAAATTGAATTTTTTTCCTCTTTATGTAGTATTATTTCAAATGGTAGTGTTCCTTTATAAAATATAAACTCATGCAACCTTTGTTCTGATCCATCTACAATTTCTCCAGATGGCAGAGGGTAACTAAGGTTAATGACTGGATAGTGGAAATCCGAACAACACAAATTGATATATTTTTAATGCACATTTTTTGTTCAAGCCAGTACAAAAGAGGGCTTGTGTGTCAAGCAAATGGATTCGGTTTGCACAGGAGCATGATAATGCAAGAGAACGAATTCAAAGGAGGCTGCACAGCTCACTGAGTTCAATCTGTGGCATTTGTGATTCATATACAGGTACAATATGATTCTGCAAGGCAGTGTAGAGAAAAATATTTTACCAGGCAAGTCAATTAAGAACGCTTTCTCATTTAAAGGAAAGACCCTGAGACCCGTCTATAGTGCAGAGCATTTGCCCGGAGCAGTTTGAAAGCAGTGTCTTGCTCAAAGATACAGCAGCAGTGTCCCACCAGGGGATTAAAACCAATTTCACTCCAGGCCAGAGTCCTAACTCTGGCCCGTATGAATAGGCTTAATTTAGAGCTGCCTGTCTCCCTCTTTATGAACTAGACCTGCAGAGACTGCTAGCTGGCCAACGAGGAATGAGGTTATAGTCAGTCAGTTGAGGTCAAACGAGCTGGACACTTCCTGAGCTGTAGTGCTGAGCTGGTCAAATGCAGTGCTGGGCTACAGCAGACACATCTGCCTAAAGCACAGATGACTAATTTTATCATTTAGAACCTCTTGTGTGAGCTGTCAGTCCCAGCATAAGAGAAATAGTGCAGGCAGTGCACTAACCTAGGGCACCGCTACATTTTCTGCAGTGTTTCTGATTAAATTGGTTAGATCCTGATGTAAAACCTACCCCCTAAAACATCACATAATTCTTTTTCTTCTACAGACATTCAATTTTGATGTTCGTCAGCTGAACTGGCCTGAATACATTGAGAACTATTGTATTGGCACCAAGAAATACGTTCTTAATGAGGACATGTCTGGGCTCCCTGCTGCCAGACAGCACCTTAAGAAGTAAGTGCAATTAGTTTGTCAGCTGTGGAGAGTTTATTAGGATTATTAGGACACTGGTATAGCAACCTCAAAGTTAATACAGCTACAGGTTTCCCTGATATGGTGCTTAGAAATTTAACTTGTGGCTCATGATTGCAGTAAGGTATAATTGCTGTATACCTGTCAGAACCTACACATCACTGGGGTGAAGGGCCTTTCTCAGGGACCTAACGGAGTAGGATTCCTCTGCCGGCCGTGGGATATAAACCGGCAACCTTCCAGCCACAGGCACAGATCCTGAGCCACAGATCCACCGCTCGACCCAGATTTGGATTTAGATTTAGCCGATGGTGATAAAGCAGGAAAACTGATTCCTTCGTGGATCTGCTCCACACCGTCTTCACATTCCCGCCTGCCTGTGTTTTGACTCTTAGGCTGAGGAACATCCGCTACGCCTTCAACACGATCCTGGTGGTGTTCATCTGGCGGATCTTCATTGCCAGGTCCCAGATGGCGCGGAACATCTGGTACTTCGTGGTCAGCCTGTGCTTCAAGTTCCTGTCCTACTTCAGGGCCTCCAGCACCCTGCGGCACTGAAGCCCGGGGGGCGCCCGGTCTGCCCCTGCTCAGCTACTTGGGGTAACAGCAGTGCTGCCCCACCACTGGGGCCCAGGGGCGCGCTCAAGAGAGAAGACACAGCCATCAGACCTTTCTTCCAGACCGCACTGCTTCCAAGCCCTGTTTTCTTTTAATCTTTCAACAAACCTTGTCCAAAAATTTTTTATATCCATTCTTTTTTAAAATATATATGCAACAAATTCCATTGTGTGATTGTTCTGTGCGACTACCCGTGTAATAAGCCTAAACCCAGTTATGATGCCTTGAAGTGGTAATGATTTATGGGATACTTGAATAATGACTCTTTGTTTTCCTAATGGGCTTTCTTGTATCCAAAGCTGAAAGCTACACTAGTCAAATACGGTTTGTAAAACTAATATCACTATGGCGTTTAATTTTTCAGTGTTGTTTAAACCAGTGCTTCTGGATCCATCTGTGACACCGTCCACCACCCTTCCAGTGTGAACAGGAACTGGTTACTTACTGCTTTCCGTCTCCTGCTCATTAACCCTGCACCTAATGTGATGTTTTGGAGGACGGAAGTTTGACGTATCAACTTGAATCTAGATGAAGATGTGTAAATATTCAAAGTTCTATATTATTGTTTATTTACAGCACCAAAAAGGTTGTTTTTTTCCCCTGCCTTGGAGGATTCTGCAGGGTGCAGGAACTGCAGGCCGGGCTCTGAGGCTGTGGTTTCACGTTTGTGCTTATTTGCCTGGAATTGTCCACTTCTTTCTTTTCCTTTGTAGACGGCAGGCTTAGAACTTCAGAAGTATCATTGCATCTGAAAGCTCTCCGTTGTACCTAGTACAGTCCGCAGTAGTGCTGTTAACACTTCCACCTGCAAGGAGACACTCTGTACACCTGCTCTTCACACAGGGAGAGAAGTGACTGCAGATGCTTGGCCCATGTGTTGAGACATGAGTTAGACAACCTCAAGCTGAGCAGACAATGATGGAAGTACGCAAAGTCAGCAGTCTGTCTGAGACTTCCTTTCATCCACACTGCATTAACTCTTCGTTTTAACTCTCCAAAGAATCCTATGAGTTGCTAAAGAATCAAGTAGGATCATTTATTCTCAATACTGGGCCTACAGGAGAAAACTAAAGCTGTGAGATTTCAAATCAACCCAGCTCCCCGCTAATGGAGACGTGAAAATGCCTGTAAGCCAGCAGAGTGTTTAAAAGCCTGCTCGCACTGTTTCAGACTGTGAATTCAGTCCTCAGGCTTTTACCAGCAGTACATTGCTCCTCCTTTGAAAAAACCTCATTTATTCCACTTGGCCATGTCAATAAACATGACAGAAAACATGCCAGTGCGAACACCATCCTGCTTCATCAATCCACACACTGGACTGTGAGCAGAAGATCTGAGAACTCAGTGGCCATTAAGATCTCCTGTGTCTGATCTTAAATAGAGGCAAGACAAATAACTGCATCTGGCACAGAAACACACCCAAGGCCTCTGCAGCCGAGAAACCTGAAGAATAAACGCCAGGCGGTGACGCTGATCACAAGAAATAACAATACAGAAGGAAAATGATTTCATCCTGTATGCACTTGAATGAATTGAGATCCAAAAGAAATTGAACTTAGACATCTGTCTTTGAACGTCTCTGGAACATGTAGCCAGCATTCACAATCTCGCTGAAGCCTGTGCCAGGGCAGAGTGGGAACAGCTTGAGCAGCTAAACGGCAAATTCGCCCCGTTTTCAAAATACCTTTTTTCCCCGATTTGAATTTGTTCATATGTGACAGTTTTCTATGCACAAGAAAATACCAAATTGCTTATTTTCCTTAAAAGGACATGTTGGTATGATGCATAATGTTATATAATAGTAACACATATCTATGTCAATAACCTGGTCTTTTGCTGTTGAATAATAGTGTTGGGCATCTCTCACACCGAGAGTAACATTTTCCTGCATGTCCACGAAAATACTGAAAGACTTTACCGTCTGCTTTCGGCACGTCTGAGACGTCCAGTACTCTCACCTCATTTTCTTGCCCACAAGATGTTAAATTCTGGCAAGGGAACAGGACGGAGGAATGCCAAACACTGGCGTGCAGGATGGGGGCGCGTGGAGCCCCCCCCCCGTTGGAAACACAGCTCTGCCTGTCCTTCTGTGTCCTCCTGTACCGCTCCTCCTCTGGCCACGCAGGCCAGGCGGTCTGCCACTCCTGAACGTGCGCCATGACCCGAGTTCTTCCAACAAGCCGCTTGGTCGTTCCGGGAGCTGAAGACCGGCTGCGGCCGAGCGCCCCAGGCCGCACTCGCGAGGCGCCCGGCTTCGGGCCGCCATGAATCCGCAGCTCCGAGACGGGCGGACCAGGGAGCACGAAGACCTGCTGGGCGGCGGATGTGAAAAAAAAACCGACAGGTGCTTTCTCGCCAAGTGCGAATATCACGGCGCAGGCCGCAAGACCTTCTGAAACCCCCGAGTATTCGCTCCTTCTCACTGTGGGCCACTTGGGTATTTCTGGCAGCACTTGCTGTTTTTACCTGTACGTAATGCAACTGAGCCCAGGTCACAGGTGAAATTACCCCACTAAAGCATTCCAGACCACAGACATACAGTATCCTAGAGATTTGAATGAGCTGACTGGGGACATGCAAACAGGTGCTGGTGTACAGCTCATGTTGACAGGGCCCAAGAAACCAGCCTGGACTTCGCACAGTGAGGCACAGGGCTGGCAAGGTTGACGCGGCAGACAGAGGAAATGATGCACATGAAGAGCATTCCAAGCTGGAACCATTTTTCTTGAATCTAAGAGGAGCACCAACTGTCTTAAGAACACCCACAAATGGAGCAAATTCCGTTCGAAAAGCATTGATGTGCTGATTCTCCTATTTGCCAGTGTACTGAAATGCTCGTCTCAATACTGCCAAGGTTAGCCAACTGGCCTCCAAAATCTCCACCTTTCAGTGGTCTGGTCTTATCTTACAGGTTTTAAAGATTTATATTTTCTGAGGTATTCAAATGAAAAAATAGGGCTTGCTCAGCGGTGGAATGCATGCTGATCATACAAGTATGTTCAACGTTATGGGTTTCAATTGAAACAAATCCATTGTGGACGATGTAGATGCATGCATTAGACAAACAAAATGGAGCAATTTTTATTTTCAGTTCTTCACCAATGGTTTGTATGCAAATAAAAATCACTCCATGTTCAGTCTATTGCTTGGATGAATTGTTATACTAAATCCACAGATTTAAACAATCTACCAATATTATTGAAAAATGTGTCCAATTAAAGATAAATTAATTTAATCAAACCTGTTTTAGTCCTTTCATCTTAAACTGTTACATTCTATGTTTTGTATGTGGGGTATCTTTTTTCTATTGGGGATGAATTTCACATTGAAAATTTTGTTGATGAAAGTTGTCTGATTAAAGAACAGTGTTTTATCTCTAGAAAATTAGAGCTCTGTCACTGAATGAATAAAAAAGTTAACTCTTTGTTGTGGATTCATACTGTTTAAAAAAAACTCAAAGCCATTCATATTGTTACTAAAATAATAGAAAAGGGTTCTTTTACCCACAAACACGGTCAGGGTGAGAATTTGCGTTTTGACTAAAAATAGTGACGTTTCAAAAATGTGTAAACATCCTTTGAAAATTCAACAAAACAGGCTGTCCCTGGAATGGGGTGATTACATTTGCAGGCACTGTAACCAATCTGTTTTCTAAACCGATAGAGCCACATTTCTCTAACAATCCGTAACCCAGAGGTGCCATTGGATGATTGTAATGCTGTCATTTGTTTGTGTCAGGTTTCAGTTAAACAGAGAAAACCCAGTTTTATATTGTTAATAAAGTAATTTAGTAATAATAATAATCATTATAATTGCTTACACTTACATAGCACTTTTCTGGACACTCCACTCAAAGCGCTTTACAGGTAATGGGGATCCCCTCCACCACCACCAGTGTGCAGCCCCACCTGGATGCATTATTGTTTAGTTAACATGAAAGTTTTAAACAAGGCTAGTGATCTACGTTTGGAGTAGCTCAAGTCTCTAAAGCAGGGGTGAACAACCAATCGATCGCAAGAATGTTTGGCAAAAAAATAAATGGGCTATTTGACTGTTTACTTTTTTCGATAGCCTAAAACTTCATTCAGATCTGTGCATGCATGTAATGCCATACATTTTACTGCCCTTGTGTGTGTTTAACCCTTGTCGAGTGGGTTGTAAAAGTCTGGCTCACACTGGGGGAAAAGGCAACAGGAGCTCCGTAAATTGAGTGTTGTGTGTGTGTGTGAGCTGCCCAAGAACACACATTCGCTACAGCGCATAGTGGAGCTAAACAGACTGGCCAAGACAAATTCGCCAACAGTTTGATAAGTCTGGTTTCCTATTTGATAGTTGTAGTGTTTTAAGCGAACATGAAGAAGCAAAGAGACCGAAAACTTACCGCTACCTCAAGGAACACGAGCATGGTTATTGTTTGTACTTCCGCATTCAAATCTGCAATGCTAGCGTCTACGCGAAAAAGGGAAATAGAGAACAACATTTCAAAACTGCACACAAAACGTATGATGTAGACTTTCCCGCTGAAAGTGAGTTACGGAAGAGAAAAGTGGAAAAATTAAAATTTCAATGAGCAGCAGTCGGTTTTCACGAGGCCCAATACAAGAGGCAAAGCGGCAATCATCGCAGCGTTCAGGTGTGAGCCGCGTCCTGGCTCCACACGACAAGTCATTCAGGGATCCAGAAGTCATAAAAGCGTTTGCTGAGGCTGCTGACTTGCTGTTTGGGGATTTAAAAAAACAAACATTGTTGGCGGGTTCAGACAGCTGTTGCCTGAAATCAAAGAGTTTCTCAAGTCGTCTAAACACGATGAATATGCCCAATTAGCGGATGACCAGTGGCTTCTGGATTTAGCATGCCTCACAGACTTGACTGAACTGCCGAATGAGCTGAAAGTCGAGCTGCAGGGACACAATAAAAATGTCATCGACATGATCAGCAGCGTCAACATGTTCAAAAAAAAAATTACCAGTGTTCTCAAGTAAGCTTCTCAGTGCCAGTGCTCACATTAAGGTAGGATGTTCTTTTTTCTAAAATGGGGAACATTACTTGTTCACTGTAGCATGAGTCACTTGCTTTTAATTGCTGTCATTTTAGTGATGGGTATCGTTATTGTACTGATGTGCCCACAGTCTGTTTTTCCTATATCAGAGCTTCAAATTCACACTGGTAGATTGTGCTGGACTGGCAAATGAAAAAGTAGATCTTACATTAAAAAAGGTTGGGCACCCCTGCTCTAAAGGCATTCCCCAAAGGGAATGCGGCCCAACTCCGAACATGCACAACAACGAAACTCAAAGATGTCGACACAAAACTGCGTCCAGAGCGCCAGTGTGCACGTCCAGGCCCCAGCTCGCTGCACTGCCTATAGGCACAGGTCTGTCTGAGGTCAGGCAGGTTTAGAAGAAGACAAGGCATTCCAGTAATATCCAGGTCACCACTACAGCCTTCCAGGGGTAATCCACAGTGGATCGAGAGCGAGCAACTGGACCAACAGCAGCTCGAACAAGCCGAGCTCCGGAAGATACCCACACAGACACAGCCCCCACACACGCTGATACAGGGTCCGTATAGGAATCCACATTTCACCGCTGGCTGCACCGTAGTGCTACGCCAGAGCACACTGGAAGGGCATGAAGATGAGAAATCCTAGTGTGTTATACAGGCAGGGAAGACAATATTCACAGAGCTCAGGTACAGTGTTCAGATAATACCAGAGACTCCAGGAGCCACTGAAGGGAATTTCTGCATTAAGTTGTGGACTGTTAGCACTGCTACTGCAAACCTGGGGAACACTTCCAATTGTATTTGAACTGCACTGCACTATATTATTTTTAATGCTAGGCTATTTGTCTGTTTTTGGCAATAGCCATGAAGCGTATCTAAACTGACTGTATTTGTATTGCTTTACCTGCCTGAGCTGTAACACAAGAAACTTAAGTTCTTATGAAACAGTGGGATAACTGGAAAGGAAACTTTGCATTTATATTAACAGAGCACATCTGCACATGTAACCCCTGCCCGAGAGTGAGGCTGTGAGCTGGGATCATGAGACACACGGACACAGGCTCTCGCCCTCAGAGGTACCTGGGGAGCAGCTTCACAACTGGGGAGACCTGCCGCCCCCTGCTCTAGCTAAAACACCACAGCAGCTGCTCCACTGGGGTCTCCTGGGTCTGAAGGGCTCAGGCTGTGGAACTGGGAACTCACCCCCCATCCCACTGGCCATAGTTCTGGATTCCCAAAGCCCTGGATTCTGTGCTAAATCCGGAGTCAGGCTGCACACAGAATGATTCCAGGTTTGCCTTGATTGCATTTGTTTTGTAGCATTTGTGACAGGATCCTTGTTGCTATGGGGTATCTTCAGGCTGATCAGATCAGGGCTCAAGGTCACCCTCAGGGGGCACTCTGTGGATCTGGGAGGGCAGGAGCGATAAATAAAGCATTTGAAACAGGGGTCCTTTTGCTGTACACCTGCATATTGATACACAGTTCAGGCTTGTCTGTAGAAAGTAATCAGGAGAATGGAAGATATAATCATTTGTGGTTGCAAGGGAGAGAAGACACACCCACTTTCCAAGGGCAAAAGCCCCAATCTACATGTTGAGGATAACTACAAAAACAGAATGAATTAATTCAATTCAACTGAGCCCTCTTAATCTTGATATATCTCTGCATTCTCAGGGCACTGCGGTCGGGATCACACAAAAGACGTGTAAACCCTGAACTGGTTGACCCTGAAGCGGTCAGAAAGTGAATGAATGCTTTCCAGGGCAGGCTCCGGCTAAGCAAGTAGAAAATAGGCAGATGGATATTTTAAAAATTGGACTGTTTTCCCACAGAATTAACGGCTACGGATTCTCTCCATAACCTTACATACATCTTAAATTAGAACTAATTTCAATGATAATCACCAGATTTTTCCTGTACAGTACATTACTCTCATAAAAAAGTATGACCTTTCTCCAGTAGTTCAAGGAGCTCAATAGTTCACCTTCTCCAGATGTCCTGCATGGGCAAAATAGGGCTGTTTTACAGAAATGTCAATTATGAAGCTTTTGAGACTAGTTTCGTCGTTTTGCCTCAGGCAGGTAGCTCTGCATTGTGTTGCTGGGGAGGGGCGGACAGAGATCAGAGCAAACCGTGTCACGCCCCAGCTCACACTCAGAACACAGGAAGGCCACCAGCGACTGGAGGCCATTCGACCCACATAGCCTGTTTGGTAGTTGGGAGATTTCATCCCGGCCAGCTGTTTCCTGAAAGAATCCAGGGTATCGGCTTCCACAACATGGGTGGGCTGCTTGTTCCAGACTCCCACCACTCCTTGTGTAAAGAAGTGCCTCCAGTACTTGGGTTTAAATGTTATTCCATAAAAAGGAACGGACTCATAAAAGCTGATAGCTGAGGGTCGATTTAGCAGGAGCTCAAAGGAAAAATGCAATTAAAAAAGAAAAGGAGGAGGAACTTCTTTACACAGTTGTGAAAGTTGTGAAAGTATGGAACAAGTTCCCCAGCCTTGTTGTTGAAGCAGACGCCTTGGTTTCTTTCAAGAAACAGCTGGGTGAGAGCCTTGCATCAGTTAACTACTAAAAACTCAAAGGGTTACAGAGGGCGACTGGCCTCCTCTCGTTTCTAACTGTTCATATGTTCCTACTGTATCTTCAAGTGCTGCAGTTCTCAACCTGCATGATCCTGCTTCACCAGAACATGTACATGTCACCGCCCAAGAGGTATCCAAGCGCAAATCCGTAGCCTGGGAGCTGGAGGAAGTGCAGAATTGTTGTGGGCTATGTAATTAATGCTTGAGAGAAGACGCGAGGAACTCTTCCTCGTGTTAGGTAAGGAGGCAAGCGCTTCAGTGAAGACAATAATCTTGAGGGATGTGTGCTCCAAATGTGAGCAGTAAGTCTCTGCTTCACACCGGCTTCAGAGCACTCTGCTGGTCCAGGAGAGACAGCCAGGACCCAGGACTCCCAGTCCATCACCCTTCAAGGGCAGCCTGAAGGACGTGCAACTCGTTCGCTCACTTTAACTGTCCCATATTTGGACTCATTTTATTTAAAATAAACTCACCCAAGAAGTAAGTGTATTGAACTGTTTGTCAAGTGTTGTAGTCGCAGTAAATTGGCTGAGGGCCCCTGGCTGGAGGAGGAGGCTGGACCCCTGCAGAGTGAGGTGACCAAGGGGCCGCTGCAGGGGGAGGAGGGGCGCAGGAGACGAATGTGGGGGGGGGGGCTGATATACAGTATTTGTAGTTTTTATGACGTCAGGAATGATGACAAATTACCGACAGCTGAGATTGATTGAGCTGGGCTGTTCTCATCACTCCCGATCTTTCACATTTCGAAATATCCTTCTGCTAAAAATACCAGTACGTCTTGAGTAGGGGGTCGTTTTCAAGTGCATTCTGTGTTTATTGCCACACAG